AAATGAATGCAGGTGCTTTGCATTCATCAGGACTTCTGAGAGTAAAATATCTATAAATTGCATACATTTTGAATATATATATTCTCAACATTTTCATCAAAAGGTTTCAGTTTTATCTAAGCATCAAACTTGGCAAGTTATTTAAACAAAGTGATGAAAAAGTAACTGTTATTGCCAATATTATAAACCTGAGCATTTAATTTGCATTTAAACTCCTTATATTCTGCCTCAGAATTGTCAGTAAATGCGAATCTGGAGAGTGATCTCCTGTGATACTATAAATGTTGCTTTCTGAATTCACAATATTGCACAATATTGATGCACAATATTGCAGGAGGGAATTTCTGCTGGCCTACAATTTGTAGCCCTGAAACTAAATGCAGAATGCTCACAACTAAGGCACGCAAATACATGCATATATATTTATTGTGAATCATTAAACTGATCTTTGTTTTTAAGATTTTGTTCCAAATTTGAGCAATGTGGGGAGGAATTTTCTGTGCCCATCCTGAGCTTTTAGGACGGTGAGTAACGTAATTTTGTTGGACATGATGGGGGAGAAAAAAATACAAGTCCCTCACAGCGGGTTAAAGTTTTGCCAATAGGTTCTTGTACCTGTATCGGGTGGGGCAGTTCCCCAACCTTCACAGTCAGAATCCTGATTTGCGTTCCTTAGCATGTCATGAATACTCATTAACACCCTATCTGCTGCAGTTTTGTTCATGGGTGTCATCTTGTTTGCCAAGAACAAGAAATATGTGGTTACACAGGTTTGATTGTATGTATGAGGCTTGTAGCTGGCAGGGCAGATTTCTTCATCCAAGAGTTCAAACTTAATTCTCCTTTTATAACCAAAGCATCTCTTTGCATATAGCCATTTTAGTCAACCTACTCAGACATGTTATGGCACATCTCCAGGTCTAGTGGAACATCAAACTGGGCCTTCTGGCCCAGAGTTATGAACACCTTGAAGCCCTTCCATGTTGATCAGCTCATGAGAAGTCTGTCATGTACAAGCTGGCTTGTTAAATCGCTTAATGTTGGAGGAAGCCTGACTAGAACAACAAGCTTGCCCTATTGAAGCAGCCTCACTGCTGATACCAGCAAACCTGATAAATGGGCTCAACTCAAAAGACCATTTATTTTGTGATTTTTGCCTTTTTCCCCATACAATCTTTAAAAGCTATCTGATGTGTACATTCTCCTAATTGTAATGAAAGATCGGTAATCTGATGTGAGCTGCCGAGTGTTGAAGTTCCTTTCATGTTTTAAGTGTGAACCTTGGCAGATGTCTAAAGCAGTGCCACTGTGGAGCCTGCAGTACAACATTGGCAGCTGCAGTGAAGTAACAAACAATGATTGGTGCTAGGCAACTCCATCAGATGCCTTATTCACAGTCTCCTGTTTCACAGTCCTGTGCAGTGGGAACCTTGCAATGCTTGCTCAAATTAATAAATGCATGAGAGATTGAGTTTTAGTGATACGTACCTTCGTAGAACACAGCAGATCATTTCTTCATCTTGCGGCACTGGAGATGGGTTCTCTTGAGCCACTCAAACGCTAATAGGGAAAAGAACTTGCTTTCGCTCCTGAATACCTTACGGAGACATGGCTAATGCTTGTTGCTGCTTTTTGCCTGGTCTCTGACATCTTTTGGGGTGGCTGGGGTGATGAACAGATATTAAGTGATGCTTCTGAATTGCAGAGAATGAAATGCTGTCAGTTGCCTTTTAAATATGGCACCCAAGTGTTGGAAGGCCAGATGGTCCTGGAGGGCTTCACAACTTCTTGCTCATAAAATTAGGCATTTTACCCATAAGTGCACATGTAATGACCTGAGAAGGACATAAGCAAATGGAAAACCCAACCCGCTCATAAGCAGAGGTGCCTTCTGACTTTAGACCCATGTCCATGCTTGATCTTTAAGTAAAAATTCCACAACATGTATCTGAAATGGATCTCATAAAAGTTGCTCAAATTGTAAGTAGGTACTTATGCAAGTGCAGCATATTGGTAGGGAAATGTTTGAAATTGCTAGTTCAAATGATTTTCACCAGTTAGAGACACTTGCATCTGCATTTACCATATTCTGCGAATTTGAATCCAAAACAAGACTTTGACTTCAGTGTGGATTTGAATGAGGATTTGTGTTAATTGCTGGAGTCCTATCCACGAAATGAATGCTGTCTGAATATTTACATGGAGTGCTTTCATTATTCATTGTTCACGAGCAAGGGGACCTTTTTTGTATTTTGATGTTTTTGTTGTGATGAAATGCAGTCAAGCTTATTACTTGACTCTATGAATTGTAGTAACAACATAAGGTGACAGACCAATAATTCAGTTAAATTTCTTCCAAATTGCACTCCAATCTCTCCATAAACAAAATTGTGAAATAGGAAAGAAAATTGAAACTCTGGTAGCACTTCACATTAAGCTTAAAATGTAGGCTGCTATTGCTGTGATAGAATCATAGAATCCCTACAGCGTGGAAGCAGGCCATTCAGCCCATCAAGTCAAAACTGACCCTCTGAAGAGCATTCCACTCAGACTCAACCCCTACTCTATCCCTATAACACTGCATTTCCCATGGCTAATCCATCTAACCTACAGATCCCTGGACAATTTAGCATAGCCAATCCACCTAACCTGCACATCTTTGGACTGTGGGAAGAAACTGGAGTACCCGGAGAAAACCCACACAGTGACAGAGTCCCTCTGATGCAGCAGCGTTAACCACTGAGCCACCCCAGCGGTGATAGGAAGAGAAGCGATAGAATTACATAGAGGGAAAAACGGTTACTTTCTGAATGTTAAAAAGTGTTTTAATGTCTTTGAATATCCTTAATCCCATAAACAGTATTGGAGTTTCTCATCACTGCAGAAAAAATGTCAGCTTGTGATTGTTTTGTTTCTAGTATAAATCAAGTTGGGACCCTGCTTATGCACAGGAAGATACTCGAATGCAAATACCTCAGGTTTATGAGTAGTTATCGGGTTAAATGAATTGCTATTGTGTGTTGTGGAAGTAATCTGTACCATGTTTTAACTTGTGGTTGGACAACATGTGGAACTCGGGTTACTTTCATTATTTAAATTACAAAAGTCGTTAGAAACCCCATTTTGAGTTTTAAAAGGTATTTCTTTAAGATGGGCATTGCATTTTTCTTTCAACACTAACCTTGTGAAAGCATTGCTTTCTTTGTGAGGTTAATCTTAAGGCGTTGTGTATGTGTCTATAGAATATTCTACTTGATATCTTGAGTGGTCAACTTATCGATTCTGAAGCACAAATGTTCAACTGTCTTTTCCTAGTTGCTATGTGTGTAAATGTTTGAGGAAGGGGACATGAACAGACAATTGTGAGAACTGTTTGCCTTATGAAAATATCACTGCACTAAAGGCAGTGTATGGTTAATGAGGTTAAATTCAAGGACCAGTTATAAATTGAAAGGTAATGTGTCGTCATTGTTGTACCATTTGATTCATTCACGGAGCAGCTAATAATTTGAATCGGTGAAATCGATCTTTTGCCAGGTATAACCAGTTAGTTGGGTAGTAGGGATTGGAGTAGTGATTTAAAAGAATGAGATTTTAATATTTATTTATGATGTCAATGCATTTGTTTTGTAAAATTTCATAGCACATAAAATTGTGCAGTTTACTGATTGTGTTCTGCTGTGGGATCCCACTAGTGAAAGGCACTTAATCTGAGCACAGTCTAGGAGTTTAAGCGATTTTATGTGCTTTTTAGACATTAAGTAAATGTCACCAAGTGATGCCATCCCCATATGATAAAAGCAGTTAAAGTTAAATAATTAAAATCATACCTAGGCCCCCTTTCTCCATTTACTTGATGTTTGATATACTGTTGTGTTTACTGTATTCTTGCCTCTACTTATTGTCCTGTCTTGTCTCCTACACTCTCTTTTTTCACCATCTTTGCTTTAAAGCAGCTGGCACAGATGTTAAATACCGGAAGTTAAATGCTAGTTAGACAGAATCCAGAAATTGACTAGAAGAGTGTGTTTTGTTTCTCTCCTGCCACAAGCTCCAAACACACTGCTACTAAACCCGCTCTATCTAGATATTTTCGAATGAGCCTGTTCAGAGACTTGAACCAGCGTCTGCTAGCTCATTCGTAGGGATACAAGCACTGCACCACAAGAGTCTTACTTTTCTACCACCCCCAACCCAATATCTATACCCTCGATTGCACACCCAGTGTATATTTTCTAATCCAGTCTGTTCAGAGATATTATTGCGTAGCCCCGGCACAGGTGGGACTTGAACCCAGGCTTCCTGGCTCACGGGTTGTACCCAGTCAATTGCTCACCCAATTATACCTTAATTAACAGATAACATCACATGTTCCCTAGTTCCATTTCATTTTTTACATCCCTGCTAGATCCTACCAGATGATGAAACACTCAATGGACCAAATGATCTCTGCACGACTGTTCTTTAACTCAATAAGGATTGTTCATTTTGAGTGCACCAGTCACGCTGGGTACAAAAGAAAGCACATATCTCCCTATATCTGTTAACTAAGTTTTTTTTTTTTTTTTTTTTTTTTTAAACTCACCTTCTTTTGTAGTGGCTTCTGTAGCAGTCTCTTCTAATTTTGTGTATTTATCTGTCTGATTCTGCCTGACTCACTTTGAGAGCCAGGATTGTCCAACACTTTAGTCTGTTAGTTTTGAAGAGCAGTCGCTGTTGTCAAATAGAGAATTGCAATTTGTACACAGCAAGGTTCCCAACAGCAATGAGATCAATATTGTCAATCTATTTTACTGAAGTTTGTTGAAAAATAAATGCTAAGCTGTAAGATATTGCATATTTATGATTTTCCAAAGTTGAAATGTTCTTTTCCTCCTACTGGAAGCTTTTCGTTTGTTTTCAAACTTCAGAAGAAACCACTGAAATTTAAATTTCCTGATTTTCTTGAAGGAAAAAATTGAGGCGCTAAATTTTTTTTTTCTATTCTCCTATTACAGCAGATATCATTTCAACTGTTGAATTCAACTACTCTGGGGACCTATTAGCAACTGGGGACAAAGGTGGCAGAGTTGTTATCTTTCAACGTGAACAAGAGGTTGGTACTGAATTTGCAGTTGGTACAAAAACCCTATCTTAGTAATTTTTAAAGTCAATAGTTAATGTTGATTGGCAAAGTAAGTGCCAGTTTAATTTTTGAGGTTTAAAGTAACATTCATTTATTTTTCAGTTGAATGTTTCATCTTCTTAAAGATGACGAATGATGTCATGCAGTGTCGTACGTCATGCTATGCTGCTCAAACATACATCTTAAAAGTCACCTTTCGTGTTTGTATGAACTTCCATTTTGAATTGTGGTTTCAACTGCCAACGTTGTCTTACTGGACTCATGATACATGAAGTATGTTTAGCCAGAATGTTTCACCTTAAAATTGCAGACATGTGATTTTTGCTCAGGGACGTTGATTTTTATTTTTGTCTTGGTGCGAATAGGCGCATTAACGGTTCATGATTCCACAGATGCAGAGCATTTACTCTACTCTCTCTGCAAAATGTTCTAGTTCTTAAGTTAACTCACCCTGCTTTTCACTGTTTAGTAACCATACATTTAAGGTAAATGTTTTGCTCAGCTGCATCAAAGGTGACAATGAGACTATTTGAGTGTGTAGTATCCAATGTTGGCATCAACCACTCAAATCAGATCATAACGTGATTTGTTTGGCTGCAGCATGAGGTTTCTTGTACTAATGCCCAGAAAATAACCTACTACCAATCTCTAACAAGCACAGTCAGCAGTCACGTGACACCAAGTTATAGTCCAACAGGTTTATTTGAAATCACAAAGCTTTCGGAGCTATGTGCCTTCATCAGGTGAAGGGGCAGCATTTCAAAAGCTTTGTGATTTCAAATAAGCCTGTTGGACTATCACCTGGTGTTGTGTGACTTCTTACCTTGTCCACCCCACTCCAACATGGACACCTCCACATGTCTAACAAGCACCTCTGTGCGCCACCAGGAATTTGAAACTTGCAGCTTAGCCAGCCTGTTGGCCATGTTCTTTCATTTAAAGTTGTTGAGAATATAGAGGTTGGCATCAAATAGAAATTTTTAATTTAATAGCAGTTAGAACAATCCTTCTTAGGAAAAACTGAAGTTTATCAACTCCTTTTTGATTTTTCACTCTTTAAATAGATCCTGGACATCTTCCCATCATATCCTTCAAATTTCTTGTCTCTCATGAAGGCAATCTAATTATTCACTTCCACAAATCTAGTGGAGATTGGGTGGGACAGCATTTCATTCTTATTTCTAATTCCTGATTTTTCAATAATCTCTATCTTTTTTCGATGATGCCACTTTCCATACTGGAGCTTCAGAAGTAACTTTATGTTCACTGAACCAAGAACTGCCGTCCACAGAGGTTGAATGGTCCACGATCCTGTCATGTTTTGTACACTTTCACTATCAATCTTCCCCTCCCTCTCAGAAGCTCAATAGGGATTGTTCTTGTCCTCACCTTCTGCATTCTGTAGATCATCTTGCATAATTCTGTCAACTCTAAAATAATGCTGCTAGCAAACACACATTCCCTGTTAATGGTATATTAATTCTATCCTTAATATTAAGGATATAGAGCTGGAAGGCATTAAAGGACCTTGAGCACATATGAGAGATTTCTGGGACAGGTTATCAGTTTGGAAGGACGCAGACTTGCAATGTTATATTCTAAATTCAGCATTAAGTAAACTATTTACTCCCTGGTTTCCAACTTTGATATCTAGCTGTCAGAAGTTTCACACGATAGCAGAAGAAGTGAAGATTGGAAACTAAGTTTTCATTTTCATACAGTTACAATTTGAGTTACTTGTATGGAGAGTGGTAGTTAGGATGTGACTACTTCTCAATGTCCTCTAAATGTGTACCTAGTGACCAGTGGAATAATGAAGCAGATATGTGGTTACGGGTTACATTCTTACTTAAGAGAAACCAAGCAGTGAAACATTAATGTCCATCAGCCTGATTGCAGTGTCAGAAAGGATGGAGAAGTCAATGATTGAGGCTTTTCAAGATTGTTGAAATACAGGGTGCCAGTGTTAATGCAACAGAGACTCAGTAGGAATGAGAATGAAGGCTCTTTTGGCTGATTTGAATACCATAGCAAACGACAGGATCGGTGCAGCAGTAGTATATAAACACCAGAAATGCTTGGGAAACAGTTACCCGGTGCTTCAGACGTGGTTCAAAATATCATTATGCATTGAGCTGTCCAAAGCAAAACACGGATTTTTAAGTAACAAACGAGCACAGAATATCAATGTTGAAGATGGTTATGATTCACCCAAGGAAATTGTGCTCTTTGCAAGACTCTGTTTAGGCACAGTAGTTGCTTTTAATAGTCATGGATTAATTATATTGTGCAGTGTTTAGATAGTGCTCGCACATTGATAGTGTCTGGAACTGATTAGCTAACGTGTTACTTAGGTTCACCGAAGGGTCAAAGTAATGTCAAGGATTATTATAAGTTCTATTGTTTCAAATTTGGGGATAATATATTTGACATTTATGAATCCATGTAAAATAGCTGAGTGAACCTTTTTAGTGCTGATGTTTTGTGCATTATACCCTTATTAAGAAGGCCTGCAATGTAGTGATTTACTCTAGTCCATTCATCAGACTGACAGATGCCCTCTGAATTTTGTTTTGAGTGCTGCAACCAAAATGCACACTCCTGGTTTTCTGCATTCAGATGTTCTTTCCTTCAACAAGGTAGCTTTTTGTTGCTGTGCGAAACAATTTAGTAGTTATCTGAATATATACTCTAGAACATTGTAATCTGCAAAGAATGCAACATACAGGATCTACTCTGATACTTGAGGTTGATGTTCAGTTGAAGTTTGCAAGAAATGCAGTATTAATTGTGTATGTCAGTGTCCAAGTTCTTGCTTCATTGTATCAAACAGTCCACAGGAGCTGATACAAGTGCACATCCTCATTTGGTGATTGCAAAATAGATAGGAAATTGAGAGCATCTTGTGCTCAAATCTACATGAGGAACTTAGGAACAGGAGTAGGCCATTCAGCCCCCTGAACTTGTTCTACCATACACTGAGATAGTGGTTGATATGTGGCCTAACTCCACACTGTTGGCCCATATCCCTTAATAACTTTGCTTCTTAAAAATTGCCTGTCTGAAAGTTAAAATTAACAATTGATCCAGCCTTCTTGGCTATTTGTGGAAGAGAGTTCCAAACCACACCCACCCTTTGTATGTAGAAGTGCTTCCTCACATTGTCCTGAATGATGTGGCCCATGTTTTTAGACTTTGTCCCCTAGTTCTAAGATCTCCAACCGGCGGAAATAATTTATTTTTGTCTACGTTAGTAGGAAAAGACAATGTCGTAACTTGGTCAGATCACCTCGTAACTTTCTAAATTAAAGAGAAATCAGGACTAATTTGTATAATCTCTCCTCGTAACGTGACCCTTGAAGTCCAGGTGTCAGTCTTGTAAAACTACATTGTACTCCCTCCAAGGCCAATATATCCTTCCTAAAGTGTGGTGTCCAGGTCTCCTCACGGTATTGCAAGTGGGTCTAACCCAGGTCTTGTATAGCTGCATCCTTTATAGTCCAGACCTCTAAATATAAATGCCAGCGTTCCATTCACTGCTTTGGTTGTTTCCTGCCCCAGATAATGGTGTTTTAAAGATATATGCACCTGAATCCCCAAGTCTGTTTGGACATCTATATTTTCCTTGCCACGGATAAATCAGGGTATTTTCTATTCTTTTTCAGCCCAGAATGCAAACCTTGCACTACTTTACATTGAAGTCCATCTGCCACATTTTTGTCCATTCACCTATCAATAGTCTATAATCTATCACTATATGTCAATATTTGTAATTTTATGCTATCATCTAATTATCTACAATGCTGTCTAACTTTGTGTCATCAGCAAATTTGGATAATAGCATAGAAAGTCATATCCAAATCATTAATAAAGAATGTGAATAATTGAAGCTGTAACACAGATCCTTGTGGACACCACTAACCATATCCTGCCAGTTTGGATACCTAACCATGATCCCTACTTTGTCAACTGCTTAATTTCCCAGCCATATCAATAACTTTCCCTGAATTCCATGGGCTTCTACAGCCTCTTCTGTGGGACTTGATCACATATCTTCTGTAAGTCCATTCAAACAACATCCATTGTTATTAGAATCTGAAAGAACTGCAGATACTGTAAATTTAGGATCAAAACCAGAAGTTGCGGGAAAAGCTCAGCAGGCCTGGCAGCATCTGTGAAGGAAAATCAGAGTTAACATTTCTTCACAGATGCTGCCAGACCTGCTGAGCTTTTCCCGCAACTTCTGGTTTTATTCCATTTGACATTAACCTGTCCCCTACCTTTTTCACTTTAAAACAAAATCAATGAGATTTGTCAGACGTGAGCTATATGTCGTGAATCCAGGCTGGTTATCTGATGAACTGAATTGATTTATAGACTCTCAATAAGGCTAACTAGTCTGTAATTCCCTCTTTTGCCCTTCTTAAAGTGCAGTGACATGTACAATTTTTAAACCCAGATGGACAACTCCGGTATCTAGGGAACTCTGAAAGATTATAGTTCAGAAATCTCCAATCAGCCTGGAGCTCGGTGACCAGTGGTGTTCCGCAGGGATCTGTTCTGGGACCTCTGCTCTTTGTGATCTTTATAAATAACTTGGATGAGGAAGTGGAAGGGTGGGTTAGTAAGTTTGCTGATGACACGAAGGTTGGTGGAGTTGTGGATTGCGTGGTGGGCTGTTGTAGGTTGCAACGGGTCATTGACAGTGCAGAGCTGGGCAAAGAAGTGGCAGATAGAATTCAACCCAGAAAAGTGTGAAGTGATTCATTTTGGAAGGTCTAATTTGAATGCAGAATACAGGGTTAATGGCAGGATTCTTGGCAGTGTGAAGGAACAGGGGGATCTTGGGGTCCACGTCCATAGATCCCTCAAAGTTGCTACCCAAGTTGATGGGGTTGTAAAGAAGACGTATGGTTTGTTGGCTTTCATTGGCAGGGGAATTGAGTTTAAGAGCCGCGAGGTTATGCTGC